TTACAATTGTTACTGTAAAAATTCGAACTTCAAATATTTTTCGTGGTTCGTGTCAGACCAACCCACCACCAACCACGACAAAATTCCCCGAATTTAAAAAAACTCAAATTTCAATTAAATTTTGCGAAAAAAACGTGGGCGGTAGAAAAAAATAGTATAAATTTCATCAAAGGTGGAAACGTAATCCCACCCCTGAATTTTATTACCTGTTTGCGAACGCTAGGCAAAGGATTAAGAGAACCATTTCTAGAGATTTTCAAGATTATATCACTAGAGCTCAGCGATCCCTTAAGAATGATCCAAAGAGTTTTTGGTCGTTTATTAATCAGAAGAGGGGGCAATCATCCTTACCCAACTCTGTTCAGTTTGGAGACAACACTTACAGTGACCCGCATGACATTGTTGATGTATTTGCCCGTGAGTTTTGTTCCTCCTTTAGCTCTTCTAATTCGTTTCCGTCATCTAATGTTAAATCCTGTTCCAGTTCACTTAATCTATGTATTGATGTTACGATATGTGAGGATGCAGTCCGTAAGGCTATTCCACAACTTAAAAATAATTGTGTCTCTGGTGAAGATCAGGTTCCCAGTTTTCTTATTAGAGATTGCGTCGATCCCCTTGTCAAGCCTTTATGCTACATTTTTAATTTGTGCATTAATAACTCTTGCTTCCCAAGCATATGGAAGGTCGCTAAGGTAGTGCCTGTGTTTAAATCTGGGGATCACTCTAATGTTAGTAGTTACCGTCCTATTTCGATATTGTCTAACTTTTCTAAAATCTTCGAAAGAGTCATTTATAACCAAATTTATTTTGATATAAAGGAGCATATCTCAGTTTATCAACATGGTTTTACCCCTGGTAGATCTACTCTAACGAATCTAGTATGTATGTCTCAATATATTGCGGACGTGCTCGACAATATGGGTCAATTAGATATTATATATTTGGATATGTCTAAGGCCTTTGACAAACTTAATCACAGGACCTTGCTGGAAAAACTATCGAATTTTGGTTTCTCGCAGAGGCTGCTTGAGTTTTTTGCATCTTATTTATCCTCTCGTAGGAACTTTGTTCACTACAATGGTTTCAAGTCTAGTTGCTATATTGCTACGTCTGGTGTTCCACAAGGATCCATTCTTGGGCCTCTTTTGTTTTTAATATATATTAATGATTTAGTTGATGTCATCGAAAATTCTAAAGTACTCATATTTGCGGACGATGTTAAAATTTTTCGTACAATAGTTGATGTGGATGACTGTGTTAAAATTCAGAGCGATATGAACAAGCTGCAATTCTGGTCTGAGCTTAATGGAATTCCGCTAAATAGAAATAAATGTGTAGCAATGACTTTTACGCTCTGTGCTAAAAAGTTTGTTTACGATTATAGTATCGATGGCACTGCTGTTCAGCGATCCACTACTGTGAAGGACCTCGGGGTGATATATGATTGTCAATTCAACTTTAAAGACCACGTAGATTGCATTGTTTCAAAAGCTAGAAAATTGATGGGCTTCATTATCAGGAACTGTAAAGAATTTAATATTACGTCTCTTACGGCACTTTTTAACGCCTTAGTAAGATCTAGGTTGGAATATTGCTCTTTGGCCTGGTTCCCTTATTACCAAAATCAGATCTTATCTCTAGAAAAAATTCAGCGGAAATTTTTGAAATATCTATATTTCAAAGAAGAGAAAAGATGGCCAGATAGAAACCAAGCACAGACTGCACTTTTAGCCAAATTTAATTACAGTTCACTTGAGTGTAGGCGTATAAGTTTTGCCATTCAATTTGCATACAAGATTTTTAATAATTTAATAATTTGTCGTGAAATATTGCAAAGAATAAACATTTACGTGCCTAGATTTAATTGTAGATACTCGGTTACAATTTACAATAAAACGCCACGAACTAATATTGGACGCAAAGCCCCGCTATATGTTATAAGTTATCATTTGAATAAATTTGAAAAAATGAGTAAGTGTGACATTTTTCACTGTTCTTTAAGACAACTTAAACGTGAAATATTAGACACGTTTTCCTTAAGCGAATAACAACGTAATGTAAGTTAATTTCAGTAGTGTTAGATTCCGGTGTTTAGTATTTTAATTTTGTTTTATTAATAGTTCTTTATTATTGTTTTAGAAATTGTTTTAGTTTTTTACATTTTTGTGCATTGTTGTTTATGAATATGCATAGTTTTAGTTTTAGTAGTACATATTATAATTTTGTTATAACATTTTGTCCTGTAATTGGAATATTTTGTTCTGTTGGGCAAATAAATATATATTATTATTATTATTATTATTATAAATAACTCGTTCATAAGGCCATGGTGGCACTCGCCCTTTATATGCGGCTTCGCCGGTCGTTCTATAAACTTGGATTCGTGCCGTAGTATTTGACTTATGAAACTCATTATTTAGTATACCAATATATGACAAAATGTGCTAAAAATGAATGTCTATTCGATTTATTTCATCATTTACCTTCTGAACGCTCATTTAATTTAATTGATATTATACAATCTCTTATGTGTATGATTTACAGCTATAGAAAAGTACTATTTAGGTACACTTTGACATGTTTAAAATTTTGTGTTTGTGAACTCCTCTGAAACTAAAAGCCGTTGTCAATCAACCGAAAACTGTTAGCAATGGCTAAATCTTAGGCAAAATCAACAGGTGGTGTTTCAATAGAAATGGCAAACACTATATTTGAAACGTTGCGGCAATATTTATACTTTTAAAAATTATTTGTCCTAGAACCAATTCGTTAAAAATTTGTACCAGGTGATTTTTTTTTATTTCTGCTGTAGTTACCCATGACACTTATGTCAGCAGTGAAACTAAAACTGCTGGCATATGCTTCATGGGCAACCAGAGCATAAATTTAAAAAATCACCTGATGTGAAACACAATATAAATTTTTTAAACATAAAATTACACTGCCAACTTACAATGAAATAAAAATACATTGTCAATGGAATTAACAATGTTCTGCTACATTTCAATCGTTATACAGAAATATTTATTTAATAATTATTTGCTCTACAACCAATTCATTGAAAAGCGATATATTATAATTTAATTTAATTGATATTATACAATCTCTTATATGTATGATTTACGGCTATAGAAAAGTACTATTTAGGTACACTTTGACATGTTTAAAATTTTGTGTTTGTGAACTCCTCTGAAACTGAAGTTTTTAAAAAGGTATTTCAAGTGTCACTAGAGGCCGTGTCGTAGAACAGAAAATTTTACCTCAATAAAAGGTAACATTTTATTGTAGCACCAGCTGAATCGATGACGCTTAGGAGTCATCTTAATATAACACGGCACTCAGCACATATTCTAACGGGATTGCATGCCATCAGGTACCTGAAATGCTTTGTATAAATTCTTCCCGGTAATTTGGCAAAATCCAAAATGTTAACTGTGGCATTCTCCAAAATGATGTACGACACTGTTTGTCAAAAGGTAATAGTGACATTGTCAAATTTGATAGAAAACCAAATTTAGGTTGTGTGAATTTTTAAATTTTCAAATAATGCGCCAAAATGTAGTGTGGCACTTTTCAACGGCCGGAACTATACCAAAAGAAATGAATAACAAAAAAACTTACTATATTTTATTTTTCTAAATGTGCGTCCTTTCATGCATTTTATATTATTTGTTGTACTTTCTATAAACAGTTTCAAAATACATTTTTATAACGCCGATTGTTGATTAATAAGTATTCCAAGACATAATTTTTAAAACTGTATTAATATTATTTCTTCAAAAAATGTATGCATGATAAAACTACGTTAATGCAAACAAGAAAATCACAGAAAGTGGATTCGCAATAATAGCCTAATATCCGTTCGCAAAACTCCCGCACTGTCAGTGTCAGATTTGGAAAAAATGACCTGAGTGTACTCAGTGGTGAGATGCGAAAAACCTGTACAATATGTTGCAAAATTGCAATCTAGTGACAAATTAGTAACTAAAAATAACTTGTCAAATAAAAATGTCAAAAGCACATTAATTGAAGATTTTTATCAATTCAAGTAAAGAAAGAGTATGACACACGAACGACAACGAAAGCTTTTTTTGAATAATATATATTTTTGACCTTACTGTCCACTTCTACGCTTCTGGTGCTACAATTTGTTTGAATTACTGACAAGTTCTTTAAACACATTGAACACTTCAGCAACTCAAAAAGGTAAAATAGTTAATATAAACATTTGATTTTTCATTCATTAATTTTGAAAATTTGAAATTCAAGGCGGTAATCATATAAACTTAAAAATCTTTTAGGGGATTATTTCTCATACCAACAGAATGTCATTCTGACAGTGCGGGAGCTTTGCGAACGGATATTACACTTGGGGCCGGTTGCATAAACGCAAATCAAATTTAATCTCTGATTAACTCCTTAGTAACGATTGTTATTATCATAGTTACAATTGTTCTTAGGGCCGGTTGCATAAACGCAAATCAAATTTAATCTCTGATTAAGAACAATTGTAACTATGATAATAACAATCGTTACTATGGAGTTAATCAGAGATTAAATTTGATTTGCGTTTATGCAACCGGCCCTTAATCAGAGATTAAATTTGATTTGCGTTTATGCAACCGGCCCTTGATCTGTTAAAATTTTGAAGCTTGAGTCACTACATTTAACTGTCAAAACAGAATGACACAAGTTACAGATATGAAATGAATTTCAACGTTCACTTTGCCCATAGACTTTACCTATAACAATTATAAGTGACACTATGATGTTAACCTGAATTCTTAAAACATTGAAATGTAGCTAGGCCAACGCCTGTCTATAGCTTATAATAAACGAATCTCCTAATAGGTACTTTTGACGAAAATGACGGTTTTTTTTCGCTACATGTTGTCCGCGACTTCACACATGCAGGTCTCATTTTGTCTATGAATGTAAACAATCGTGTTACCTCGTTAATGAAATAATCAAATACATCTGTCATCCCGTCAAGAAAGACATTACGATAAATATGTCGAAATTTTTACATTACTTTTGTAAAAAAATACAACAAAGAATCATCTATTCGAGACAATTTGGACATATTCCAATAGTAGTAGAGCAGTCCGGAAGAGGTGACCGAGCTTACGATATTTATTCAAGATTACTTCGTGAACGGATTATCTGTTTGATGGGTCCTATCACAGATTATACGAGCTCCCTAATTATTGCTCAGCTCCTATTTCTTCAAGCAGAATCAACAAACAAACCTATCCATATGTACATTAATTCGCCCGGGGGCGTTATTACTTCAGGTTTGGGTATTTACGATACTATGCAATATATTTTACCTCCGGTAGCTACTTGGTGCGTCGGCCAGGCTTGTAGCATGGCTTCGTTAATTCTTGCCGCTGGCGAAAAAGGAATGAGGCATTCCCTTCCAAACTCAAGGATCATGATCCATCAACCATCCGGGGGCGTCACCGGTCAAGCGACTGATATCAAGATTCAAGCAGAAGAAATATTAAAAATGAAAAAACAAATCAATTATTTGTATGTAAAACATACAGGAACGGCTTTGGAACGAGTAGAGCTGAGTGTGGAACGAGATAACTTTATGAGCCCGAACGAAGCTTTAGAATTTGGGATTATTGATAAAGTATTAACGAGTCCCCCCAAAACAAAACATGTTCCCGAACTTGACAAGATATTACCGAAAAGAATGGACGTTTTTAACCAAACAATGGCAAATCAATCTACACTAAAGCCCTAATTATTTGTTCTTGTAATTACAAACATTTTTTTAGAAAACTGATTATGATAAAGCCTAAAATTTTTCTTAATTGTTATTAATAGGTGGATGTTTATAATGTCTTACTTTAGGTATAATAAATAGCACCAAATAAATATAAAATCTGCCGCAAGTGTACACATTGCATTGTTATTGCCGTTATTGGATTACGTTTAGATTGCATTACGTTAACAAAAGTTAGCACCAAAAGTGAGCGTTGTAAGCAACATGATATCGGTTTTCGGTGTGGTGTAAAAGGTTTGTCGAACTAAAATTGTCGTGTGACTCTGATTATTACTTTGATTATTATTTAAACGGCAATTCTGCACTAATATCCATTAAATGTAACTATCATCAAATAATAAGGAATTTTAACACTTTCAGTTGCTTGAAAAAATATTTCCCTCTAAAATTAAAAATGCTTGAATTTCTGACATATACAAATATTTGTAGATACAATGCAAATATTTCCATACACGTGCTCCTTAGTGGTAACAGCAACAGCAACAACATAATAAGCACATAGTAGGAAAACCCATACAAATAACTTCTGCTGAGTTGCTACAACTCCAGTCTTTGTACCATAAAACAGTTTATTTCTAACAGTAAATAAAAATTAAAATTACATAATTGTTACTTAATTACATGCTTAATTAAAATTTGTCGATAAATTTAAAGTAAAACAATTTTTGAAAAGTTTGTTATACCCTAGAATCAAATTTACTAGTAGACTGGTGCGTTTCCTTCCTTACATGTCAAACGTAGATCGGATTAAAAGTCCCTCGGTTGACACGTTTCGTTTCCGGTCTTAACTACATCTATACATTTTCACTGAAGTAAAACTAACGAGCTGCAAGCGTGGAAATTTGCAGGCTGAGGGGAACATTTAGTGTCATTTTTGCCCTCCTGCAACAATAGAATTTATAATAGAACTAATCACTGTATAGCGTGTGGCACGTGACCCCAAAGGAACCCACACCGAGAAAACTCAATCCCCCTTACGGTTACTTAACTCACAAACGACTCAAAGTTTACAGATTAAACGAATTGTAATGATTGCTTACGTCACAACTTCGCTCTAAAGTCAAAAAACCCAAGGAAAGAAACTTTCTTGTGGAAGTTGCAGAACGTTTAATTTATCTAGTAAGAAAACTCGGTTTAAATACTCGTTATTAAATTTAAAGTAATTAAAACTTTACAACTTAAAAATAATAATTAATCATTAGATCAACATAAAATACTTCAGCGACATTTCAGCGCGAGTTTTGTTTAGAAACTAGTTTCATAGCTAATATTTTTAGTAATTGATTAAAATTTGCATTCAAACGGAAACTTCCATGAAAATATCTATTAATTTTCTATGATGTAGCCGCAAATTCTCGTCGATCGTTATCAAACATCAAAGGTGTGTTAAATTTTAGGTGAGAAAAGGAAGTGCCACCGCGGTTTTGCATCAGAGAAGATGAAAACAATCGAGTAAAAACGGCTTAAAAATAGATAGCGTGTCTATAAATCTTTATCTTTGAGCTTTAGGATGTTAGGGGAAATGAAAAAGAATGAGAACTAACCATTCGTATTTTGCGGGAACCTATTCACAGCGAAACTTTCTTTTTGTATTCTTAAAAGATTATCTCGTTTTACTAATGTATTATGGCTCCGACACATTTTCGATGTGGTATGGTATTACATCACTAAAATAAAATGCTACAATCTAAACACATCTCTTTAGATTGAGTTAAATTTAAAAGTCAGAATCATCTAACGAATTATAACCTCATGCAAATAAGTACATACAAATAAAACAGATATTCTTCATATTTGTAAAAAAATAACCTAAAACTATTTAGACAGAAGTTCCCTTGCCTCTGCAATACATTATAACAAATACAGCTTCTTCAAAAAATAAAAAAAAATGGAGACAAATTTTGGTTAGCGTTTTACCACCTAAATGGTATTCATAATACAAATATAAAATTTGACAACAATCAGTCCAGCAGTTTCGGAGATTATCTGTCTAACAAAAATCGGACGGACGAACAAACAGACAGAAAGACAGACAGAAATGAGAGAGCCATTTTTTCGTACTCATCATCGAGTGTCGAGAAAATAATATGAAAACAACCAGTCGTCCGATGCAATTACATTACTTCCTTAGCTTACGCTTAAGTAAAAATATACATATCATGTGACACTGTAAAAAAACGAACCCACCCAATTCTCCCCTCCGAATGTGAACTTTGCGCTATAGTCTAGTGAGCAACCTCGCACTAAGTACTGATATAAAAGATTAGTGTTTAATTTACATTTTTTGCGAAAATTTGGATGCCTTGGTAAAAATCTGAAGACAGATCCATAAAGAACAAGTACAAGAGTATGTTATTTTATAAAATTTAAACCCTACTTAACGTGAAAAATTCTGAGGGGATGCCATCTCGCTTCTGGTGGGGATGATTAGACAAGTTTTGGTTAGCGTTTTACCATCTACAGGATATTCCTATATACATCGAAAATTTGACAACAGTTGGTCATGAATTTCGGAGATTATTTGTCTACCAAAAATTCACACGAACGGTGGACGAACAAACAGGGAAGCATACAGACGACAACAGGAGACCTATTTCTTCGATCCTTACCTTACTCTCGGGTAGTAATAAAATTCGCAAAATCATATTTTGTAATTTTTGCAAAAGCTACTATACCTCAGACACGAGGGAAGTTCTGTCTAAATAACCTTAGACCATTTTTTTAAATAAATTGTTAACTCCTTATTTTAAACTGATAAAGTGATAAACGGGTATACACACCACGCAAATATGGATGAGTAAGTATTGTTGTTGAAAACTCAATTACTTAACTAAGTAGATCATCACATTTACTACCAAGAGAATTATATATAACACGAATAAAGACAGCGATGGATTTTTGAAGATTTGTCTTAGGTAGAACTTTCGTCTTATCAGATTACTGTTGAACTGAAAGTTTGAGTTGAAAATGCAACGAACAAAAGCAAAAAGTGCATGCCCATCTTTGATTGTGTTTTTATTGCTCCGTTGGTATTTTGCTCGTACCGAAATGTTTATGAATGCATATGCTAAATAGAATACGGACAATTCTTACTTTTCTAGTGATAACAGTGCTAAATGATAAGACATACTGAAGTGCTTTATCCTAAGTGCAATGTATTCCGAAAAGCTCATCCTACTATATATATTAAAGAACTGAATTTCTGGCTTTATTGCCGAACAAATGAAGTTTGGCTAGTTTTCTGTAAACAAACTAAAGAAAATTATTAGAAAGATAATTAAGACATTCATACCTTCATGAAAAATGTAAGTAGAATATATTACGTGCGTAAAATTTTAATTTCAAGTTATCGCGCTAATTTGACGTGAGTTCAGCCAGTTTAATTAGCATAATTCCAAACATAAATCCAACTTAAAAAATGACTTCACTAACGGTGCAAAAAATATTTCATTCCTGATAAATAATGAGGCAATTTGTAAAACTGACCTTCCCGCTCTTTGTGTGATGTATGTGTGTAATTCATTATGCAATAAATATGCAACCAAACTAACTACGAAACAACCCTGGATTGCAGAACACAGAATGATTCTCACATTAATCTGGGAAACAATAAATTAATTTTCGCTATAATATCGGCTGAAACACAGATTCATCACTCGTACATTTATTCTCATTTTCGCGTAAGCATCGGGTCAAATGTGTGGATATATTAAGGGTTTTTTTTTTGTATGTTTTCACTCATTTTTTTCCGTTAAACGAAAATTCACCCCTACTTTTAAAGATCATTTTTTCAAAAACTTCCACAAAATTACAGTGACCGTTAAATTAAGAATCTGCTTACATTTATCGAAAACCTCTAGCAGAAGAGCTAGCAGTTTTCTCACCATTTTGTGAAAAATGAAACATAATTTGTTGAAGGGACTCGAAATCGAGATAAGTATTTTTAAATCAACGAAGAATTTGGATTGCTAATTAAATCTATTTGAAAGACAGCCATATGTTTTTATGTTTGTCTTTGATCGTTGCAACTCAAACTTTTAAATTGACGATAATCTGACAAAACGAAATTTTATCAAAGACAAATCTTCAAACATCCATGACAGTCTTTGATCATGTTTTTTGCCCTCTCGATAGTATTGCATTATACCGGGTGTTTGGAAAATGGCGGATTAACTCTTCAGTACGTTATATATAGGGGGTTTCGGGAGTCCCGAAAAAATAATAAAAAAATTCTTTATGATGTATAGTCTTTGCCATTTCTATTGAAACACCACTTGTTAATTGTAAATTTGGCAACGTTTATAGTCAGACAATTTTCTAATTAAAAGCCGTTGTCAATCAACTGAAAGCTGTTACCAACTACTAAATTTTAAGCAAAATCAACAGGTGGTGTTTCAATAGAAATGGCAAAGACAATAGATTACGAAAAAAACGTAATTTTATAAAAGTAAAATTGGCAACACTGTACTCACCTAATGCGTGAATACCTCCGGCGTACTTTCTGGTTTCTTAGTAACGATGGTGACTGAAATCCACCTTCGCTTTATATCAGGCAAACATTGTTGTCGAATGGAATTTATCAAATTATTACAAAAACAACACATCCATATCTTTGTACATTCTAAATGAAATGAACACCAATTTTAATTTCATTATAACTCCACCAAAATGTGAGAAGGATTTTTTTTACTATTTTTCCCAGACTCACCAGTTGATTGTTAAGAGGGTAGCGAAGAGTTAATCCGCCATTTTCCAGACACCCGGTATATAGTTTAGGAAATAAAAATATATCTTAAATATTTTATTGTCAATAACAAAACGGAGAACAGTGCAATGGTGAGAAATGTTTATTGTTCACCTGCATTTATCGGAGAACATTTAGCAGGTACCTAGTTGTCCGCACAGAATAAGTAAAATACCCCTTGAATAATGAAGATTCATCTGAATCGAAATTAAACTGGTATTTGTTTATGT